GTGTTGTATACCATGGAGTTGGAACCGACCCATAGCTGACTCTCCGGTGGGTTTTCAAAGGCAATAAATTGTATGGGAGGAGATTGCCCATCTTCCTCTCATGAAGCAGCAGGAGCGGGTAACCACATGCCTTGGGGATTGCAGCTCAGCTTCTTACCACAAGGTCACCAGAACACTTTCACGGATTAGCATTATGGAAAAGTTTGAAATATTGTCAGAATTACCCAGCTGTGGCATAGTAAACATATGCTGTTGGGGAAATGGTATAACTTGCTCTATGCAAGTTTGCCAAAAACCTTCATTTGTAATGTTGTTATTATGTGCTCTTGAGTCACCTGTGACCCATCGTGACCCTATGTACAGCAGCTCTGAATCCCGCCCTCTCCTGGGCCAGTCTCCCTAATTCCAACACACCAACCCCCATTGCCCCGATCACTGTACCATTACATCTCATCTAAGGCCTTCCTCTTCTGCACTCTCTCTCCACCCTCCTGAGCATGGCGTCCTTCTCCAAGGACTGGTTTCTCCTGGCCACATGCCCAAAGTATATGAGACGGAGCTTCAAAATCCTGGCCTCCAAGGGGAAACTTGGTTTCACCCTCTCCAAGATGGATCTATTTGTTTTCTTGGCGGTTCATGGTATGTTCAAGACTCTTCTCCAGCACCACAACTTAAAGGCATTGATTCTTCTTCTGTCATAGTAATAATAAAATGCTGTATCGATGAATTACTGTAAAATGAAGTAGAATACAAGATATGCCAGTGTACAGCATGTATACTCTGGGAACTGGATGCAATTTGCTGCTGCTTTATTGTTTCTGTTGTTACAAGTTGTTTGTCCACCCACCATCCTTTCTCTTTTGCAGTAACTAGCAGATTCAAACCACTGACCTTCGGGTTAGCAGCACAGCACATAGCCAGTTATGCCACCGAGGTTAACACACTTGAAAGGTGAGTGATTCGAATCCACCCAGAAGCACTTTGGAAGGAAGTCCTGGTGTCCACCTCTGATTGCCAGTGAAAACCTCCGGACAGGAAGTTCTATATGGACCCATGTGGGTCGACATGCATCCGCACTGACCTGGTTTGGGTTTGGAGTTGGGACGGTTATTCTACAGGACTTACAAAGATCACCTTCTCTAGTTCCAGCTCGACCCTCCATAGGATTTATGGGACACATTTAGCAGCCACACCTCAAGCAAGAGAGGATCCTGAGAGGGGTGCTCAGAGATGCGTGTCCCCAGAGATTTAAGGATGCAGAGAGCGGTACCTGACCCTCTCCTCGACAGAGTCTAGAGGTGAGAGACCCAGGGCCGCCCCACTCCACGGTGGGAGAGGGGTCTGCAGTGTGTGTGGGGGGTACCTACCCCAGAGGCATTTAGGTGAAAGGTCCCAGGATTTTCTGGGGACACTGAACCTCAGTATTAGTGTCCAGAAAATCCCTGCAGAGCTGCTTGCCGGGGTGAGAACAGCTCCTCCAACAGAAAGTGTGTACAGGACAGACACACAGAAGGGATGTGGCAAGGTTTGGGGCAGGGAGCCGGAGGTCCTCCATGACATGTTAGCAGGAAGTCCCAGAAAGAGTGTCCACATTAATATATCTGAATGCTCTCCTCTCGCCCACACCCTGTCCCCAGCCCCAGAGAAGCCAGGGTCACAGGCAGTGTGCAAGGAGAGAGAGGGAGAGGAGATGGAGAAGGGGACAGGAGGCCAGCCCCAGACCCCCCAGCACTGAGCCAGGAGAGGGGATGAGCTTTCCACTGACTGGGGCAGGAGGGGCTGGAGGCTAAAGGTTTCCTTTGCCCCAGCACTGACCCTTGGCATGGAAGAACAGGCAATTCCGAACGAACTCAAAGAGCTTGGCAACCCTATGGAATGAGCCAAAGGTGTCCAGATGGGCAGAAGAGCAAGCTAGCAGGGGCAGTGAAAGGAAGTCCCTGGAAGGTTTTGCCCAGGCAAATCCCAATAATTTGATTAAAAAACAGCCTTTCTCTGTGCTCGGAATGAAACTAAGTAGATGATCCAGTTTAATCTCAGAGCAAAAACTATCATTATCCCCTCTTAAGAGCTGAGGGAGAGGAAGTGCGGGGAGATTAGTAACGCGCCAAGGTCACAGGGTTGGGCGTCACAGAACGTCCCCTAGAAGCAGGTCTGCCTGGCTTCCACGGGGCCTCCCCAGGAGAGCTGCAGCTTTGCACACCTGGACCCTCTGAAGCTCAGCTTGGCCTGGTGGGTTTCTGCCTTTCCACCCTCAAGTCCAGGCGCTTTGAGGGCCCCACACGCCAAGCATGCTCTCTTCCTCAGGTGTCATTCTTGGATTTTTCAAGCCAGGAGCCAGCTGCCCTCCTACCCCTGCTCCACGCTCCCCATCTCACCTTGCTCATAAATTCCTTCAGTCATTCTCCTGGGGTACCCACGCCCCACAGCATCCCTGCACCCCCCTCCAAGAAATAACAAAGCACTAGGAACTTCTCAGTGTTCTCAGGGAAGGCACAAACCACACACATCTCAGCTGATGAGTCACAAAGATCCCTCAGTTGCAGTGACAACTGGGGCACTGGCAGAAGCTTCCAGAAGGGGCTTACCCTATACTGATCACTGCATCTATAATACACTAGGCTGTAGTACCCTTATATTATGAAAAAGATTGTCTGGGCATGGCACTCAGGGATCTGTTTGGACACAGCTCTCGATGATTCTAATGCACATTGACGTGTGACAAACATCACTCCAGGCCTGTGGTCTCTAGAGAGGTGTGATCACCCCGGCAGGACTAGGAGATGAAGTTTAAGAACAGAAATTGTCTGATATTATGAATGTAATTGTATGTAATTCATAAACAAGTTCACTGCCATTGAGTTGGTTCTGACCCATAGAGTGAGCCCATTGGACAGGGTAGAGCTGCTCCATTGGGTTTCCAACCTGCAAAGCTTTACAGGAACAGACTGCTTCATCTTCCCCCTGCAAAGTGGGTGGTGGGTTTGAGCCTTCAACCTTTCAGTTAGCAGGCCAACTCTTAACCCACTATGAAACTGTTGTTGTTATGTGCTATCAAGTCACTTGCAACTCATAGCAACCCTATGTACAACAGCTCTGAACCCTGCTCTATCTTGAGCCAATTTCATCTTCTCTGACACATCAACCCCCATTACCCCAGTCACTGAGTCAATCCATCTCATCAAGGGTCTTCCTCTCCTGCACTGTCCCTCCACCCTCCCAAGCCTGACGTCTCTCTCAAGGACTGATCCCTCCTTGCAACATGTCCAAAGCATGTCAGAGGAAGCTTCAGAATCCTTGCCTCTAAGAAGTAGCCTGGTTTCACTCCCTCCTGGATTAACCTGTTTGTTCTCCTAGCAGTCTGTGATATATTTTTTTCTTCTTCTTTTTCTCTTTTTTTTTAATTTTCTACTAGTTTATTTACAAAATTCAAATACAAATTTGAACAAATTCTTTCACGGTATATTCAATACTCTTCTTCAGCACCACAGCTCAAAGGCATCAATTATCTTTCTATCATCCTTAGTCATTGTCCAACTCTGACACCTAGCGAGTAATTGCGAAGACCATGGCATGGATAATACACATCTTAGTCTTGCTCTTCAGTATTCTGGGGAGGTCCCTGACAGCAGAATTTCCCGATGCAATTCATCTTTTGATATCCTGGCTGCTGGTACCTAGAATGTTGATTGTGGAGACAAGCAGGCTGAAGCTGTTAATCTCGTCACAATCTATCATGATGCTGCCAATCAGCCCTAAGCCATGAGGCCTCCTTGAGCTGTATGTAAGCAGATCTGTTTTGGGATGTGTGCTCTAAAATGTGTTTGCTGGTACAAAGTGGTGCCGTCTAGTAGCCCTTCCTGCCATGATGGAAACAGTCCACTTCTCAGCTATCCAACACTGCAGTCACGTGTGCCACCAAGCCCTCAAAGTGTGACTAGAGCCACGAAGGACTCGATTGTCATTGTGCTTTGTTTTAGTCACTGAAGTAAAATTTATAGAATCAGGTGTGGTTAGAGGCTACGACACGGGAAGGTGCAGGTACAGTCCACGTCTGTGACCACGCCTTTATGTGCCCTGGAATGGAAGCGCCATGTGGGCAGCGAGTGGAGGATGATCTGTTCACTGGTCAGTCTTTGTTGTCTAGCAACTTGTGTTGTTGGTGCTGGTTGCTGGGGAGTCAGGGCTCAGTGCAACATGACCCGCACACACAACGGAACTAAGCACTGCCCGTTCCTGAGCCCCCAACCCTGGTGGACTGGACCATTGGGATCCACACAGCCTGTGCTGATGGACTTTCAGAAGGAGACAGGTGGGCCTCTCTTCCTCACCCATCTAGGTCTCCACGCTCTGACTAAACTTATTCAGCATCACAGCAACATGCAAAATTCCACTGCTGGTTGGATGGTGGCAGCACGTGAAGCGAGGCAGCCCGGTGCCCACACGGAAAGGGAGCCCTCTACCGCTGAAAGAAGTGCACAGTGAGAACCTAACAAATATATTTTTTTAATTATTTTTTGTATATTTACCATCAAATCAGATTTGACTGGTACAGGAGGAGATTGCCCCTCCTTCTCCAGCAGAGCATCAGCTGGATTCAAACCACGCACCTCTGGGATTGCAGTGCAGCTTCTTGCCCTGAGGCAACCAGAGCTCCCATAGAACCTAACAAGTATTTTTCAAATGGCTGGTAGATAAGTGGACACATGAATACCTTCTTGCACAGACTTTTAGAAGGCGCCCAAGACTGGGTAACCCAAGTGCTGGTTCAACATCCCACTCCTCAGATGAGAATCCCAAGGTCATAGAGGAGAATGGCCATCTGTGGTAAGCAGAACCTTGAACTCCTGACTGTTCCATCCCACTGGACCTTCCTCTCTTCGTACCTGCCCCCGCTCCACACCTGCACTCTTACCTGTTCCTAGCAACAGAGCCCTGGGGTCCTCAGCTACATCACATAACATTGGAATAGGGACCAACCATACTTCACCACCAGCTCTTACCCGCATATAGAACTCTCTGCCCTCATTCCCGGACTTGATCTGGAAAATGTAATAGGCCCCAGGGTAGCGGGTTGTCGCCTGCATCTGGAAGATGTCAGCAGGGACAGAGCGTCCGGACACCACGTCCATGTCCCGGTACAGGATGGTGAAGGGCTGGTCTCGGCAGCCGGGATTCTCAGCAGGGCACATGCAGCGGCTGGTGGGAAAGGAAATGAGTATGTCAGTAAGGTCTTCCTGGTGGCTGGCTGTCCCTCCCTGCTTTGTAACAAACTAAATATGAGGCCACCACACGTTCACCATCCAGGCACTGTGACAGTTCACCCTGTCCATCCTGACTCCAGCCTGAACACCCACCACCATGTGGGTGAGCTCCCTATTTCCCAGACAATGGTCTCTTCCAGTCCATCAGACGGTCTGGTTGCTAGAACACAAATCTTAGGTCTCTGGTTTTCAGAAAACTGTGGTATTTTCTGATGCACTTCCATTTGCCCTGTAGTTAGCGGGTCATGGGCACTGCTGGCCGCATTGCATCACCTCCCCAACCATCACTCCCTACTGCCAGTTAGAACAATTGGAAAAATGAGAAATTAAAATGAGAAATTTGACTGACAGGCTTCAGGGTCCCTTTCACAACCTCTGTTACTTCACCCAGTTTGTGTGGAACGAGTTTAATCTTTATGCTCCATAAACAAGAGCTCAGAACTCCCTATGTTCAAGACACAACACTAAACACTTAGAAAGGACGACCAAAAATAAGATTCTGACTTCCACTAGTTCACCTTGCAGTTGTTGTTGATTGTTGATTGCTGTCAAGACGAGCACAACTCATAGCGATCCTATGAACAAAAGGCCTGAAGCCCCTTTGCAGCTATCGACGTTTATCAAAATTCATAGAGTTTCCAGAGGCATGTTGCTTAGGAATTGGATGCAGGAGAAGTAAGTCATAGACACACGTATCTCTAACACAAAGCAGCTGATCTGAAACACTAAGGTCAGAGCTGCGTTAATCTCAAATCATTGACTTTTTTAGCACAGAATTGGCATAAGGGACACATGAACTATTGTCACTAATAATTCCTATTCACTTTTCACAATGTTCGTTAACCTTTCAGACCAGATCATTGGGAATCTGAGCAGAAAGAAGAGTCCAGGAAAGCGAGGGAAAACTATATATGTGTGGAAAACTAGCAGAAGAGATGACAACTCAGATGCAGCGAGAAGCTGGAAGCCAAGGCCTGATCACAGAAGATCCTCGGGAGAAGTGAAAAGAGCCCTTCAGTCAGCTGAAAAGCAAGGCAGAAATATTTCAGGATGAAGAGGTTCATTCAGGAGTAAGATCATTGGCTTGTATCACCGAGGAATGACTGTGTTAGACATCTCTTGATTCTGACCCTCATCCTTCACCTTATCCCCGAGACATCTGGACCTGCCCCGGTGGTGAGAGTTCACAGTAGGGCCGTGGCATCTGTTGACAATGCTTTGGTGGCCAGAAGTGGAAGTCAGGTCTCTGTAGTTCTGCCCCACCATCCAGGCTATCCACAAAGACCTGTTGTTTGGCCTCCCGAAATAAATTCCAAATCTGTCTATTTCTCACCATCTCCACAAATGCTTCCACTGCCCTCTCCTCATGGACATCTGTGATGGCCTCCCAGCCGGTCTCTCTCTTTAGTCCATTCTCAACACAGCAGCCAGAGTCCTTTGTAAAATATAAGTCAGATGCTGTGTCTTCCCCGCTTGACCCCAGGAAGGAATAGGAATCAAGGTCATGCCTGCCTTGCAGCCTCTGCACACGCTGTTCCCTCTGCTCTTCCTCTCTGGTTAGTGGATGTCAATCACCTTCCCATCAGAGCCTAAATGCCATCCCCTCAGACGAGCCTCCTGAATCCCTAGTCACAGTCAGGCCCAGACTGCGCTCTTTATAAACATCCATTCTTCCTGTTCACTGTATCCATTCCTGGGTGTCACACATGGTTAAGTGTTGAGCTGTGGACCAAAAGGTTGGAGGTTCAAGCCCAACTGGAGATGTCTCAGGCCTGTGATCATCTTCTGAAAGCTCAGCCATCACAACCTCGATGGAGCAATTCCACTCTGATGCACAGAAAGGAAGTGGCTGGATGGCAATTGGTGATTTTATTACTTCACAGTGAATCAGCTGGATGACAGAAGAATTGATCCCTTTGAGCTGTGGAGCTGGAGAAGAGCACTGAATATCCCATGGATGGCCAGGAGAACAAACAGATAGGTCTTGGAGAGGGTGCAGCCAGAGTGCTTCTTAGAGGCAAGGATGATGAAGCTTCATCTTGCATACTTTGGGCATGTTGCTAGGAGAGGTTATTCCTTGGAGGGGGCATCATGCTTGGAAAGGTGGAGGATTGGCAAAGGAGAGGAAGACCCTCAACCAGAGGGACTGGCACAGTGCCTGCAGTAAAGGCTCAAGTGTCTCAGAGATTGTGCAGGATAGCACAGGGCTCAGGTATGTTGTTCATAGGGTCGCTAAGAGTCGTGCTCAGCTCAACAACAACGGTGCTTAACATGTCAGACTGGTAACCAAAAGGCGAAGTTCAAACCCACCAGCTGCCCTTTGAGAGAAAGATAGGCAAGCTCCTCCCATGACAACCACTAAACTCAAACTCTGCAGTCGAGTCAGTTCCGTCTCAGAAGGGCCCTCCATCAGATTACAGAGGCTGTAAAGACTCATAGAAAGTAGCTGTGAGTCAGAATTGACAGCACCGGGCCAGTGGGCTATGTGATTCCTCCAAATGACAACTATTCAGTGTCTTTTCCCCCCATGAGATTCTATTTCCCACCAGAGCAAAAAATCGAGCACACAGCACAGTGTCTGGCACATAGCGGGAGTCCCATTACTGTTTAATAAATACAATTTTTAAAAGACTCCTCTTTTTTCACCACAACAAGATAAAGGTAAACAACCCAGCTGAAATATGGACACAGGATATGAACAGACACTTCACCGAAGACATTCAGATGGCACACAAACACATGAAGAAATGTTCAAAATTCTTAGCTCTAAGAGAGATGCAAATCAAAACAACTATGAGATATCATCTCACCCCAGTCAGAATAGCAAAATTAAACAGAACAGCAAACAACAAATGCTGGCAAGGTTGTAAAGAAACTAGAACCCTTATTCACCATTGGTGGGAGTGTAAAATGGTACAACCACTATGGAAGGCGGTATGGCGCTTTCTCAAAAAGTTGCATATAGAAATAACATTTGAATTGGTTCTCAGCCTTTTGGCTAAGATCAAGTGTAGAAATACCATTTGACTCAGCAATTCCACTACTGGAAATATACCCTAAAGAAACCAAAACTGCCACCCAAGCAGATATATGCACACCCATGTTTACTGCTGCTTTGTTCACAATAGCAAAGAGCTGGAAACAACCCAAGTGCCCATCAACAAATTAATGGATAGAGAAGCTGTGGTATATTCATACAATGGAATACTACGCTGCATTGAAAAACAAGGAATTCATAAAATATTACACAAAATGAGTGACCCTGGAGGACATTATGCTGAGTGAAATATCTCAGACACAAAGGGACAAATACTGCATAGTGCCACTGTTGTAAAACGAGACTGACATCGGGGTTGGGGGAACTTAAGAAAAGAGGGGAAAAATAATGTATACTGCATTGAAACAGATGAGGGAGAGAACTGTTTAAAAAGAATATAGGATTAGGTATTATTTCATGACGAGATTCCAGAAAAAGAAATGCATAGTAAAGTGGACTGTAGACTTGGAGGGGTCAGGGGATTATAGAACAATGAAAGAATTTAAGAAAAAAAAGATTCCTCATTTTAAAGGCTATATCAAAATATCTCTTTGTCAAAATAACCAAAACAGCCCTGATGCCAAAATAATCATATAAAAATGTCACATGTCATATTGGGGTGGGAGAAATTGTTTCCTAAAAGAAGTTGAAAAAGGTCTGCGTACCAGTTTATTCCAGCTGGACTCCCTGCTGCAAATTTGTCTGTCTGTCCCAGATATAAAAGATCAGAATCTACATTTTAGCAACATCTACTTAATCAGGAGAGCTATGGTGGCTTAGTAGTGAGGAATTGCACTGTCAATTCAAAGGTGTAGTGTTCAAATCCACTATCTGCTCCACAGGAGAAATGTGGGCCATCTCCTTCTGTATGAGTTACTGTCTCTGAAAACCCATGGGAAGGTCAGCTGTGAGTTGATTCATAACAAGAACACATAAGAATCACCAGGGATCCTGTTAAAAATGTCAGTTCTGATCTCATATGTCTCCTGTAGACAGGCGAGTTCTCAGCAGGTCAAGTCAGAATGAACCTGTTTGGTTTCAATGCCTGGTTGAGAAGATTGATGGCTCCCAGTCGAGGAGAACCACAGACAGCCGCGGAGGTAGCATCTGAGCTAAGGTCAGAGGGACGGGGCAGATCTGGCTCTGTGGCCAGAGGCCGAATTCCTTCCATAGGTGGAAAAGTTGTGCCCCAAAGCTGGGCAGTCTGAGGTCAAGGGAGAGGTGAGAGGAGGTCTGTTCAAGCCAGCAGGAGCACAGAGCACCTGGCCAGGAGGCAGAGCTAGAAGGACAGCTGGAGAGAAACTGGGATGGCCTGGACAGAGAGCTCTGCGTTTGTCATGTCGTGTCAGGAGCAACACCAATTGTGAGCTGAACTATGTCCGGTCCCCAACCACAGAGAACCCAGAGAGAATGGGGTCCTTGAAATCAGAGAACTCGGCATGCCTTTCAGCAACATGTGAGGACCTCTTTAAAGAGACCCTCCTGGGCTGTGTCCTCTCTTTTGTGCAAGCTGTGAATCAGAAACCGCTCCCTTCGATGAGGTGTTCCTGGGGGGCAGATGCTCTAATGCTCAGGTGCGTTCACATGTGACTCTTCAGAAGAGAGGAGGGCAGATGCAGACATATGCATTCACCTTGTATGTACTCACGTACACACGTGTGCACACACATGTATATGCATACACATTTGGACACGGGAGGCTAAAAGAAGGAAACAAATTCTAGGTATGTGAGGAGCAGAAAAAATGGCCCTAGTTTCTCCCTGGAGGCAACAATTTTGAAGCTCCATCTCACATACTTTGGGCACGTGGCCAGGAGGGACCAGACCTGGGAGAAGGAGAGCATGCTTGGAAGGGTGGTGGGACGGCATAGGAGAGGAAGACCGTGGATGAGACAGATGGACTCAGCGATGGGATAATGGGGGTAGGTGTGTCAGAGTCATTGAGACTGGCTCAGGATATGGCAGAGTTCAGAGCAGAGGGCAGAGTACATAAGGTTGCTATGATTCTCAGGCAGCTCAATAGCACACAGTAACAGTGCATTTAACCAAGTTGTCTTGGTGGTGCAGTGCTAAAGCACCTGATTGTTGTACAAAAGGTCAGCATTTCTTACCCACTGGCAGGTCTGCGGAAAAAAGATGTGGCAAATGCTTCTGAAAAGATTTAGACTTGGAAGTCCTAAGGAGCTGCTCTGTTCTGTCCTACAGCGTTGCTGTGAGTTGGGATCAACCCATTGGCTGGGCAGTACATTTACCAGGGCCTTTGGTAGCAAGGTGGTTAAGCATTGAGGCGCTAACTAAAAGAATAATAGTTCAAACCCTCCTTTAGCAAACTCTCCGGCACCTCACGGCTCCCAGCGCAGCCCAGAGCCACTGGCAGCACCAAATGCTCCTGGGAGCTTATTAGAAACCCATCCCGAGCTCCTGGGCAGATCCTCCGCATCAGAATCTGCACCTTAACAGGATCCCAGGTGAGTCCTACACACATTACATCAGAGAAGCTTCCACAGCAGAGTCAGTAAAGACAGAGGAGGTGCAGGAACCTGGCCTCTGCTTGGTCAGCTTTCTAGAAAAACTCCACTTGGCTTTGGCACTAAAGAGGGAGCGACAGAGAAAGGTGTGTGTGTATATGCGCGCGCGCGCGCGCGTGTGTGTGTGTGTGTGTGTGCATGTGTGCACCCCACTGGAAAGGTAGTGAGCATTCTGTCCACAGAGAGGGCAGCTGAACTAGCCACAGAAATGATTGTTCACTCAGATCCACTCTCAGTGGGGCATGCTGAGGTGCAGCCTCCTTACCCCCCATTCCCTGACCACCCCCCTCCACTCCCCTTCCATGTACCACCCCCCAGGGGACAGCCGAGGCTCACTTGTCACTGATACGCAGATAGGGCTCCTCGCAGCGAATGGGGTCGATGCACTTGAACCCTCCCTGCAAATTGTAGCAGGTCTGAAGCTGGTTGCACGTGTGGTTTCTGTGTTCACATTCGTTGATGTCTGGAAGGCAGAGGAGAGAAGCTGAGGGAGGCCAGCGGGTCCCAGGCAGCAGCAGCCAGCTCTGTGCACAGGAGGAGGGTGGGCACGGCTGCCTGGGTCTGACCATAGAGCTCCCTTTACCTGCATGGCAGGCTCTAACCTCAGGGGCTTCTCAGCATGTGGAAGGATGGTGGCTAGTCCACACGGAGACACCCTGCACGTGGAAAGAACAAGTCTGTCCTGGATTGGGAAACGTGTCTCACACACTTTGGGCATATTGTCAAGAGGGGCTGGTCCTTGGATTAAAGACATCGCCCTGGGAAAAGTGGACGGTCAGAGAAGGAGAGGAAGACCCTCAACAAGATGGATCGACACAGCGACTGTTACAATGGGCTCCACCATGGCAGAGACGGTGAGGATGGCACAGGATAGAACAACGTGCAGATCTGCTGTTCATAGGGCTGTTTTGAGTCATGGTTAACATGACAACACCTAGTAACAAGCTATATGTAAAATGTACACCAGAATAGACAACTCAGTACAGAAAATCATGCAAAAGATCACACTTCATAAAGTTTATGTTAATATTAATATGTTGATGATATGTTGACATGATAGCATTTTGAATGTTGTTGTTAGGTGCCTGTTGGGTCAATCACAAACCGAATCATAGCGCCCCTATGAGCAACAAATCTGAGCTTTGCCCTATTCTGCACCCCCTCACCATCTCCGTCCTGCTCAAGCCCGTTCTCACACTCACTGTGTCAATCCGTCCTGTTGAGAGTCTCCTTCTCTTTCTCTGACCCTCTACTTTTTCAAGTAGGGTGGCTTTTTCCAAAAGCTGCCCTCCTGATAAAATTCCCAAGGAATGTGAGATGAAGCTTCACCATGCCTGCCTCTGAGTAGCACCCTAATTGCTCTTCCTCTGAGACAGACTTATTTGTGGTTTTGGCCGTCCACAGGTTTGTCCTGGAGAGGGTGAAGCCAGAATGCTCCTTGGAGTCAAGGATTCTGAAGCTTTGTCTGACATACTTTGAGCATGTTGCAAGGAGGGACTGGTCCTTGGAGAGGGACAACATGTTTGGGAGAGTGGAGGGACAGCGCAGGAGAGGAAGACCCTCGATGAGATGGATCGATTCTGTGAGTGGAGTGGTGGGAATGATTGTGTCTGAGATGGCGAGATTGGCACAGGCTAGAGTGGTGTTTAGGACTCTTGTACATAGATAGGGTCGCTATGAGTTGCAAGCACTAGATGGCACATAACAACAACAACAACAACAGGATAGTCAGTATTCTTCTCCAATACGATGATCAAAAGGCATCAATTTTCTTCATTTTTTTCTATTTTTTTATTTTATTATTTTGTGTGTGTACTATCAAATCAGATCTGACTGGTACAGAAGGAGATCGCTCCTTCTTCTCCAGCAGAGCATCTGGTGGATTTGAACCATGTACCTCTGGTATTGCAGTGCAGCTTCTTGCCACTAGGCCACCAGAGCTCCCTTCAATTTTTCTCCTTATTCATTGTCCTTATCTTATCCAACTGTCACAAGCATATGAAAGGAATTGAAAATACCATGGCTTGAGGCAGGTGCACCCTATTCTTGAAACTGATGTCCTTGCTCTTTAGCCCTTTGGAGAGGTTCTTGACAGGAGATTTTCCCAAGGCATGTCTTTTCATTTTTTGACTGATTGTGGATCCAAATAAAATTAATCACCAGTTGAATTTGAACTGACAGTTTCAATGAAACCGGGTGGCTCCTTGGAGGCAAGGATTCTGAGGCTCCGTCTAATAATATACTTTGGACATGTTGTGAGGAGAGACCGGTCCTTGGAGAAGGGCATCATGCTTGGGAGGGTGGAGGGACAACGCAGGAGGGGAAGGCCCTCTATGAGGTGGATTGATTCAGTGACTGGGGTAATTGGGATGGGATGTCAGCGACGGTGTGATTGGCACAGGACAGAGCAGGGTTTAGGGCTGTTGTACATAGGGTCACTATGAGTCGCAAGCGACTCGATGGCACGTAACAACAACATCATGATGTTACTTATTTTTAATATGTTGTGTGCAGTGGAGTTGACTCTGACTCGTGGCGACCCTGTGAACAATGGACTTGAACTCTACCTTATTCTGCACCATCCTGATCATCTCTGACATACTCGAGCCAGCTGTTAGAGTCACTGTGTCAGTCCATCTCACCGAGGGTCTTCTGCTTCTCTGACCCTCCGTCTTTACAAGCATGATGTCCTTTTTACAAAGACTGAACCCTCCTAACTCCACGCCCAAAATACATGAGATGAACTTTCACCATCCTTGCTTCCAGAGCACCCTCGGCTACACCTTTCCCAAGACATATTTGTTTGACATTTATACAGTGTGTTAAATAAGATAAATCATGATATTCACCTTGTTCCTTTTTCATTTAAAATTTGTTTAAAATTTTTCCCCCTTTTCACATTTTACTATCGCTTCTAGAAGATTCTGAACTCTATATTTGACTCATCCTAGGAACCACATTTAATTTCAAGGGCACAGCATGATCAGTACTTGTGTTGTTCTTATGTGGAGAGTCAAGTTCAAGAGGCCTGAAGAAGAATTAATGCCTTTGAGCTCTGGTGGCCTAGTGGCACTGAGCTGTGCTGTGAACCCAAAGAAAATTGGTTCAAATCCACCAGCTGCTCTGAAGGACAAAGATAGGCAGTCTCCTCCTATATAATTTACAGTCTCTGAAACCTGCTGGAGGGTCAGCTATGAGTCAGTTCCAACTTGACTGTACATAGTAATAATGACCACACTTTGCCAAGCATGATGTCTTCCTCCAGCAACCGAGCCCTCCTGAGTGTGCCCAGAGTAGATGAGGTGAAGGCGCACTATCCTTGGTTCAAAGAAGCATTCTGGAGGCATTTCTTCCAAGACAGATTTATTTGTTCCCCTGGCAGTGATGGTTTGTTCAGTTTTCTTTGCCAGCATCATAACCCAAAGGTATCAATTGCCCTCAGTCCCCCTTACTTGTCAGCACCACAGGAAGCAGCAATTCCTGAAATCAGGCGGTGACCGCACTGAGAAACTCTGCTGCAAAGGGTCTCTTGAAAGTGTTAGAAAGCAAAGAGGTCACTTTGAGAACTAAGATGTGCCAAACCCAAAACAAGGGGTTTTCCAGTACCTCTTATGTTTGTGAAGCTGCATTATGAATAATAATCATATATTACATATATAACATATGGCATATAAATAATATGTGTACATGGTACATGGTGTTGTTAAGTATCATCAAGTCAGATCAGAACCTATTCATAGTGACTCTAGCGTTATTTGTTTTGTTTTGGGGGGTTTTTTTTAATTGATTTTTAATAAAAGTTTACAGAGACTTAGGGTTTCCAGTCATTCATTGTTGCACTTTTCTCCCTGTCCACTCTCTCCCCCTCAATTCACTTTTCTCCTTGATAAGTAAAAGAAATACTCTTTCATTGCTATGCAATCCCTTCCCTCAAGTCCACTCCACTATGCAGCCTTCATTCTGGACTCCTAATCACATATCTCTTTTAAACAGTTCTCTCCCTCATCTGTTTCAATGCAGTATACATTATTCCTCCCCTCCTTCTCTGTCTTCCCTCAATCCCAATGTCAGTCCTATTTTACAATAGTGGCCCTATGCAATATTTGTCCTTTTGTGACTGAGATATTTCACTCATCTAGCGATTTTTTAAAAAGCAGAAGACATGGTGGTAGCTAAGTGGTGAGGCATTTCACTGTCAGCTCAAAGGCACACAATTCAAATCCAGCAATTGTTCCACAAGAGAAAGATGGGCCATCTCTTCCTGTGCTATTAACTGCTTTTGAAAACCCACTGGAAGGTCAGTTATCAGTCGATTACAATTCAATGGTACACAGCAACAAATTGCACAGGAGAACAACGCCCATCTTTCTCCTATGGAGCAACTAGTGGATTCTAATTGTGTGCCTTTGGACTGGCAGTGGAACTCCTTACCACTAGGCTACCAAAGCTATAGTGTTTGTAACATACAAACTTTATCAAAACCGAAAAGCCTACTACATCTAGTCATCTATAACACACAGCAATCCTTCAGCATGGCTTCTAAGACTGCAAATCTTCATGGGAGCAATCAGTCTCATCTTTCTCCCTCTGAGCATTGATTAGAACCAACAATAATAGCCAATAATCCAAGGGTGGGTTAGAACCACTAGCCTTTCAGAAAGCAGCACAGCACTCTGCCACCAGAGTTCCTCATAGAGTTGCCAAGAGTCAGAGTCAACCCCGTATTTATGGGTAAATACAACTGATAGATAGACAAATAGAGACTTATATCTTATAAAATGACACAGGGGAGCTCAGGTGGCCTAGTGGGTAAGTAGTTGAACAGCCAAACCAAAGCCAGGCTGTTTGACTCCACGGGGTAAAGATAGACAGTTTCCTCCCACTCGATTTACAGCCTCTGAAAAACCTGCTAGGAGGTCAGTTATGAGCTACTTCCAACTCAGAGGCAACTGACGAGTGAGTGAGTAAACTATACAGGCTATCACGTCTATGATTATATCTAGTCTATAACCATGTTTAATAATGCACATTTTTCTTGATATATAGTATATAATACATACACGTGTTACAAACTACATATATTACAGATACATGTGTATATATTATAGCACACACTGGCCAGGCTGTCTGCAGGGACTCTGTCTGAGTGAGTAGGTCTCAGTGACCGGAAGTCCTGACTGGACCTGCGGCAGCCGTTAGTCAGGCGGAAGAGACCTGCCCACGGGGCAGGAGTCTGCACCTAAGGAGGTTGCATTGTGCAGCTGGGAGTTTACTTAAACGTGAACTGGCCCACGTCCATTCTGGGGCCCAAAGGTGGGTATCAGGATACGAAGGCACCAGCTCAGAGCCTGCCTCTCTGTGCACCACCAACACCCACTCAAGCCACAAAGGGTTCTCCAGAGTGAGGCCCACCCCCAGCGCCCTCAGCCGTTCCCACCACCTGGCCTTACCCTGGCAGCTCCGGTTGTCCTCCAGCAGGATGTAGCCGGGCGGGCAGGAGCAGAAGTAGGTGCCAGGCTGGTTCACACATTCATGCTGGCAGAGGAACTCGGAGAAACTGCACTCGTCCATATCTGGGGGCGACAGATCACACCTGTGCTTTATTGTCATAGAATGTCTGTAGGTGAGGGGCTGGGAGGCCATCCACTTCCCTTCCTTTTCTCCCTGACACGGCAGCTCTCCTGCCAAGGAGCCGTCACTTCTGGCTGCTTCTTAGGATGGGGAGCTCACTTCCTGCCAAGGAAGCCTGCTCTTCTTGGGACGGCTCTCATTTATTAGGAAAGCCTCTGCTCAGGGGACAGAAATCCATCTTTGCTGAGTTTCCGCCTCCTGCCTTTGCCCACCCCCCACTCCCCCATCGTCTGTTTGGTATTGATTCGTTCTGTTTTGTAGGTGAGTCCACCAGCCCCCTCTGACCTGCCCGAGGGGCTGGGATTTATTCACTCACTGCATTTTTTCTGGGTGCACAGAGATCTTCCCCTAGACCCAAAACCCGCTGGTTGGCATTCAGAGACCCCGTCTTCTGAAGGGGCAACATTAGCAGCGCCAACTCTCCTCTATTAATCTTTCATGTTGAAAAAAACATTGTCATCCACTTGATTTCAACTCCAGTCACCCCCACACGCATTGCAGGAAAACCGTCCTCCCCACGGCCTCAGCAGCTAAACGTCTGTAAGTAGACCGCCAGGCCTCTCTTCTAAGGCACCCCTATGTGAACCCAAACCAACAATCTTAATGTTAACAGTGGTTAACTATTCACCCCACCCAAGGACTCCTCCTTGAGACCAAGCCCCATGCCAGAGAGTCATTTCCAACTTACAGACCCTGCAGACAAAGCAGAAGTGCCCACAGAGGGGTGCCGAGGCTGTCATTTCTATAGGAGCACACAGACACACAGACACACAGACACACTCCTGAAGAGTGGCCGGTGAATTCAGGCCACTGACCTCTGGGTTAGCAGCTGAAGGCTTAGTCACTGTGCCACCAGGGCTCCACTTCCAAAGGATTTTAAGCACATTAAAATAACAGTGTGCTATCATTTCCTTGAAGAGCAAACTTTGGGACGGTGTAGGGTAGTTAGAGGGAGCTCTGCTGGTCTGGTGGTAAGAAGCAATGCTGTAATCCCAAAGGCACGTGGTTCAAGGCCACCAGCTGCTCTGTGGGAAAAGGATGGGCAATCTCCTCCGTGCAATTTACTGCCTCTGAAAACCCACAGGAGGGTCACCTACGGGTCGGTTCCAACTGGACAGTAGACAGCGACAACAACAGGGTGGTTAGGTGATCAGATCACCTCTCAGGGGGTCCCCAGGGCTAGCCTGGGCAGCCTGGAGTTGGCCACCTTGGCTGGCGAGGTGGGGGCGTAGGGGGAAGGTGCTGTCCTGTGATTGGACACTTCACCCAGGTGGGCCCATGCCAGTGGATGCAGAAGAAGACATTCCAGAAAAACCAGTTTCTCCTCACACACAGAGTTTGGCAACAGAGCCCCCAGCCGGGCCTCACTCGGCAAGCACGCCAGAGAAAACATGTTTTTATTTCAGTTGTTGTTTCCCAAAAGTTTGCTTTCACTAGTTTCCCCATGTGACATGTCCTCGGATCGCTCCCTCCTTCACAGGCCACAGGAGCCTCGAACCACCCAGGCAGGGTGTCAGCGCAAACAAGGCTGCCCCTGCACTGCCAGGCCCTCCCACCATCACAGCCAGAGCCCCTGGCCTCCCAGGAGGAAGCATGCCCCCCTGTCCCTCCCTCCCGGGGGCCTTCGGCTGGAAGTTTAAGCCAACAGAATTGGGATGCTGGTTTGAGGAGCAGAAACCTATTCTGAGAAGGGTCTCTGCTTCTGTCCCAGGCTTTACATCAGAACCTGACTGAATGTTGGCAGAGCTCTGGCCCCGGCCGCATCACCTCGGAACAGAGAGCAGCCCAGTTCTAAGGCTGAAGACGCCATTCATACCGTCAGCAGTGGGAAACCTGTCAGTTTCTGAGGACTCACAGGGTGTCGAGTGCTGTGTCAAACACTCGACTGGCTTTGTCATATTTAAGCCTCACTTTAATCTACACAAGGAGCTGTTCACAGGGTCTCTACGAGTCGTAGTCAACTTGACAGCGCATCACAACAGTAAGAAGGAGCACTGGTGGGTGTTAACCAGAGGTCAGCAGCTGGAAACCAGCAGTTCTGTGGGAAGATGATTCATAAAGACTCACAGCAACCCATGAACAACAGATCTGAACACTGTCCTCTCCTGAGCACCCTTACACTCTCTGACACACTCAGGCCCATTGCTACAATGGAGGACAAATATGAATTGGATCCGCTTCCTGACAGTGAGCAAACTGGCTCACGGAGACCCCATGTCAGAGCAGAACTGTAGCTCCCTAATTCTCCACGGCTGCTGCTTTCAGATGTAGATCAGCTTCTAAGGTGCCTCTGGCCAGACTCAAACCTCTGACCTTGTGGTTAGCAGCTGATCCTGTTAGCACCACCCCGGGACCCTTTAACCTTGACTGGAGCTACCATTATTAGCCTTGCTCTCCAAAGAGGAGAGCTGAGACTTAGCCAAGGCAGCCGGCCTGACAACTCTCACGCATGACTGCTGTCGCAAGGTGTCCATGCTGTTTGCTAGGCTGTGGTCTTTACAGAAGCACATTGGCTGGTCTTTCTTCCATGGAGCTGCTGGGTGGGTTTGAACCACCAACCTTTTGGTTAGTAGCCCAAGCCATTAACTACTGTGCCAACAACGCTCCTATGACCAGTAAGTGGTAAAACTGAGATTTCTATTCAGTCAGTCAGCCTCCAGACGCCACATTCCTCAATAAAATGCTACAATGCTTTTTCCTTGGCAACCTTAACACCGGAGAGTTTTGACAGTCCTGAGGTTGGAACAGCCCCTTAAGAAGGGCCAGTTCCAGGGCACGTGGAGAGGATAGTATTTGACTATTGTCCTTCTCCACTGGGGTAGGAAGGTGTGCGATAGACCCCACTTTATCCCCAGACATGGCTGAGGACTGCAGTTCCACTGGACAGTTGACATACAGGCATGGTTCCTGGCCCCATCTGACCATTTCCACTCATCTATGTGATAGCGAGCATCCCAGGATCAGCGAGGCCCAGCCAATCCCCAAGGAACAAGGGGTCAGGACGAGAAAGGGTGGGCACTGCCCAGAGGGCCACCTCAGCTCTCATAACACAGTGAGGACCGCAGCTCCTGGAAGATGGAGAAGCCCAGAAAGGGAGGAGGAAGGATGGAACCGGAATCGACTTGTGTGAGTCACACTGACCCTGGGGGCCTGTCTCTCACTCTGCAGAAAGTAGGGTCCCTCCAAGTTGAGAGAAAGTGGCAGTAGGGGAACACAGAGGCACAGCGACATCACCGACCATCCTGACGACCCAGCTGCCAGCAAATCGGTTCTGACCCACAGAGATCTGCCATCAGATTTCCAAGGCTGTGAGTCTTTTCAGGAGGAAACAGCCCAGCTTTCTCCGGCCACCAAGGCGTAAGCTCCTTGCAACGCCAACATCGTCTTATCTCCCTTCTCCTGTGCCCTGCAAACCCCTGGGAGGACGGGGCACACTGCAGGGAGGGAACCCAGCAGGTGCTCATGCAGGGACGCAGCCCCTCTTTCCATCTGTCTGCTCATCTTGTAGGAGGGGAAGGGATGAGAACTCAGAGACCCAGGAAGTCAATGTGTCCATGGAAATTAGTAAAGGGGAAACCAGGACTCACACTCAGCTCTACCTGGCCCTGCAGCCACTCCACTGGATGGCCTGGGAAGAGGGTCCAAACATCTCTATGGATTTGCAGAGAATTCTCAACACAGAAGTCCATCTCATTAAAGCTAAACTTTCCATACTTCTAGTTCTTTGGCCCAAAGACCCCACAGAGTTCCATGTGGGGAACCAAAATCTAGGGAAGAAGTAGCTATTTGTGCCTGGGGCCATGTGAGTACATTTTCAGGACTGTCATCTAATCAGCCCGGGGCTCTAAGTCACCGTCCAGGGCTCTGTGTCACCATGTTGGCTACCTGATGGCTCCTGCTTCCTGGAACCTAAGAAGGAGGCGTTTGGGGGTTTCTGTGAACTCTATCGCTGGACCAGAGAATGTTCCTCAGTGAAGCTGTCACATGAGCCTCATTCATGCCCTGGGTCGGTGCCTGTTACAGTCAAGCCCGAGCCTGGGAAACGTCCCACTCTGCAGACTACCACACCCTAGTGTAGGGTCCCAGTTACTTTGAAAAAACACAGCAAAGCATCATTAATTTGAATTATGCTAACTTATAACTGCTAACAGCTACGTCTGGGAAAGGGTGCAGCCGGAGTGCTCCTTGGAGGCAATGGGGCTTTGCCTCACATATTTTGGACATGTTGCTAGAAGGTGCTGTTCCTTAGAGAAGGACATGATGCTGGGAAGGGTGGGGGGTCGGCGAAGGAGAGGAAGACCCTCAACCAGCTGGATTGACACGGTGACTGATGCGATACGCTCTGTGTGTCAGGAAGTGAGAGGACGCAGGACAGAACAGTGTTCAGATCTTTCATTCACAGAGTCACTATGAGTTGTACTCAACTTGACAGCCCCTAACAACAATAACAACATAACTGCTAATGATGTCCAGAGTAGGTAGGATGGAGTTTACTTTAGTTCAACACTGGTAAACTGTACTATCGAGTCAGAACCAACCCATAGCTGACCCTTTGGTGGGTTTTCAGAGGAGGTTCATCACACAGAAGGAGATTGCCCATGTGTCACACATGGAGCAGCTGGTGGATTCGAACCACTTACGTTTGCTTTGGCAGCGCAGTTCCTTACCACTAAGCCACCAGGGCTCCACCAATAGCAGAAAGGGAGAGAAAGGCAGCCAGGGAGGGAGGGGGTAAAGAGAATAGAAAAAGAGAGGGAGAGAGAGAGAGATAGAAAGAGAAAGAAAGGGAGGGAGGGGAGAGAGAGAACGAACAAAGGAAGAGAAGAAAAAACAAATTACTCTAGAGGAGTGTTGAAACAAACAAACAAAACAAACCCAACTTTTGCCTTGAATCTAATCCCACTGACGGTGCTCACTTGCCCTGCAGAAGGAGCGTGAGCCCCTCGGGCTTTCTGAGCTGTGACCTTTAGGGAGACCAATCACCAGGGCTTATTTCTGTAATGCCTTTGGGTGGGCCTCTCTAGGCAGCAGCTAAGCACAGACCACGGTGCACACAGGGCCCTTGTGGTGTCCTATGCTGCGGGGCGAAGCAGGAGGAAGACATGTCCACCCATCTTCGAGGATAGTATCCTAACTACCTGGCAATTTCTATTTTAACTTCCTGTTGGGGGAGGGAGGGCGAGGAGAGTTAACAAGAAAATGACAACAAACTGCCCTGAGCTTGTTGGGTTTGGAAGAAGTTCCTACACGGTGAACGAAGCCGTGACATCGATGTACTCACACGTGTGTAAGACGGCGTTTGCTCAGCATTCGTTCATTCACTGGGTCGAGAACCCTTTTAAGGACACGCTGTGTACCAGGCGATCTGGAGAGCTCGTACAAGTTCACAGAGTGTTTCCACTTACATGATCTCATGCAACCCCCACCCCAAGCCCTGCCCCGTGGGATGTGCTATTAGGCTATTATCCGTATCTGTCCGGTTTCCAGGACTTGAGTCAGTGCTTAGGGAGGACGGATAATTCTCCCTGCAACACGCACAACTGGGTGACTCCCCTTCCTCTCTGGCCTCATCGCAGGCTCTAGAATGTGGCTCTGTTGGCCTTTTTATTAGGAGTCAAATGACCTACCCACAGGGGAGGCTATTGCTTGGAAAGGGACATCATGCTCAGAAAGGTGAAGAGTCAGCGAAAACGAGAAAAATCCCCAACGAGACAGATTTAACGCAGTGACTGCAGCAACGGGCTCCAGTGTGTCAGAGACGATGAGGATGGGACAGGGTTCAAGTCCACGGTTCCTAGGGTTGTTAGGAGACATACTCGACTCTACAGCACCTCACAAGAACCACCCACAGGAGGTAGATACCACCCCACCTCTCAGGAAGTGACTCATCTCTGTCCTATGTGACCGTGACCCCACTGCGCTGGGAAGTGTCCCAGACTGGAGATATGTCTGGTAAACAAGAGGAAACACCTGTGAAGGACCCCCTGCCCCAGCCCAGCCCTAAGTACAGGTGGGAGCCTCAGACGCCAAATGCCATTACCACTGCAGTGAACACCGTCTTCCTCAAGTTCATAGCCAGGGTCACAGCGGCAGATGAAAGAGCCGTAGGTATTGACGCACGTTTGCACACAGGGGTTCTCAGTTGCACACTCGTTCACGTCTGTGGAAAGCAAAAGAATGTCATTGAACCTTCCTAAGACAGAAGGCCCACACAAACCTACAAGGCACAAAATTTACCACCAGGCCGCCGGCTGCATCAGCACCAAAGATCTGCATGAGGACCTCGCAGACTGAGACCACAGACACCAAACTGTTCACGGAGGAACCAAGGCATCCGTCCATGTCCTCCAGGGATTGCAGGTCAGCAAGGAGGAAAACTCCACACCCACACATTTCATTTGTGTGTGAATGTGTACGTGAATGCATTGTATACGTATGTGTTATCTATGTACACACATATGTGTGTGTATACTTACACACACTAGCTTTGGAAGCAGGAGTGGCATCCACTTTCTAAACAACTTGTTCCGGAAACTCTAGGAACTTTAATAAATGTCAATGGCTGCAGAGGGGCTTCAGGCCTTTTGTTCATAGGGTCGCTATGAGTTGTACTCGATGGCAATCAACAACAATGTGTGTGCAAATGCATTGTATACATACATGTTGTACACCTACACACACTAGCATCTAGCATGACCTCTCTCCAGGGCTCACCAATAGGAACTCCAATACATCTACTTTCTCCCATTCGCTGCTTATTCCAGCACCAATTAGCTCATTTCCCATCCCTACTGATTTTAAAGTTTCAGGTAAAGAACAGAGAAATTTTCCCATCCATTTTCATAAGTTAGATCTATTTCTCTATCTATCTATCTATCTATCTATCTATCTATCTATCTATCTATCTATCTATCACTGATGTGTCAAATGCGAGAATGGTTACCCATGGTGGACAGTGTTTGGTGGTGCCCTCCAGTTAAACAAGCTTAGAAGCAGGAGTAGCACCCACTTCTGAAATAGCTTGCCTCCAGAAACCCTATGAACTTAGAGAAATGATGAAAGTTATACAAGTGCTCAGGTCTTTCAATCAGAGGGTCACTATGAGTCGTCTACAACTTGACGGCACTTTACAACAACAACAGCTCTATTATATGTGACTACTGATTATCAAGGAGTCTCCACAGATGTAATCCTCACTGACCTGTTTCAGGTGTGGGACTCCACCTTACAGACAAGAAAAGAAGCCCAAATAGGACAAGGTGCGGTGCTGTAAGCAGGCAAAGAAGAAACACTTCGGAGTAAGGGATAGATTCATTATCTTGAGTGTATTAAGGGCTTCATTGGTGCATATAATATGTCAACAGTCATGAAATTGCCTTAACCAGTAGTGCACCTGACTGTACATTCATTCATAAAGTGTTTAAATTGCTTTCTAAGGTTGAGAAGAGTATTAAATGTACCATGGACTGCCAAGAAAACAAACAGATTCATCCTAGAGAGGGTTAAACCAGGCTACTCCTTGGAGGCAAGGATTCTGGGGCTTCGTCTGACAT